TGACTAGAATTCATGGTGTCTCAGCTGAACTGCAGGCAGTGTTTAGATAAATATGGAAACTAATTAAAAATCCAATTAATCACATATCTATAGTATGTAAAGTGACATTTTTCCCTCCAGTGTTGGCAACACTGTGGGCGCTGAGAAAAAAAGTTGTATGTTAATTCTCTGTTTAATTTTTTAATATAAATAATTAAAAGAAATACAACTTTCATTTATTTTATTTTATTTTTTTAAGATTTATGGCTTTACAACGCTGTCATGAATCACACAAGACGTTTCTGAGTTCTCTCTCCTCCTTCATGTTCGTTCTGTTTTCAAAGAGCTGCAGGACTGTAGAATGAAAATTCACTGTGGGCTCATTAGTTTTTTATCAATGCATGAAAACTGCTTGGAGTTACGAGGGTTAAAACGCAGCAATGTTTGTGGAATATCTGAAGTCGCCACGACACTGTTTCTGCCTCCCACTGAGCTCAGACTTCAGCTGTATTAAAGTGGAAGCAGAAATCTCAGATGTGAATATTTTACACGAACTCTGAACAAAAAAGAAAACATGTTTTTGTGACTAAATCACTGTTTCTGTGGCGTGCTGTGAACAGCTACGTCTTGTCTCTTGCTGACTAGTTTATATATTTATAACTCAGCACACCACTACATTACACCACCGAACCGGGAACCTGATTTATACACAGATTTTTTTTTTCTCCATTTTTCCCATTTGAACATATGCAGGCTGAGATTAAATGTTTATTCCTCATGTTTACCTCCTTCTTCGTCTGTTTTCTCATCTTCCACTTGCTCTTATTCCTGTAGGGCGGCGTGGTTCTGGTCCACTGCAACGCCGGCGTGTCTCGTTCTTCCTCCATCGTGATCGGATACCTGATGCTGAGGGAGAAGCTGTCCTTTGACGACGCCTTCAGCCAGGTGAAGCTGGCGAGGCCGTCGATTCGCCCAAACCCCGGATTCTACCAGCAGTTACAGAACTACAAACCTTAAAGGACTACAAAACCCAGAATTTTTTTAATAGCTCAAACAAAGAAGCCAAAACCCAGATCTGGACCCAGAGCTTTGGCCTGTGGTAAAAATACTTTATGTGTAAGAATGTAATGTTGTTTACATGAACACTGTAATAAATCATTGTACAATTCTAACGGTAGAGTTTGTTTGTTTTTCCAAAATACTTTTAAAAACTACAAAATTTGATGCTTTTTGTTTTTGGAGTCAAAAACGATGACCATAAACAGCAGGCTGCAGTAAAACTGACAACTTAAACTGAAATATTTGACACAAAAATATAAAAAAACAGACACAAAAAACAGACAAAATGACTAAAATGAGACACAAAATGGCAGAAAGAAGACAAAAACTGTCCCGAAGAGACACGAAACAACATAAATAAGACAAAAAATGATGCAAACTAGACGTAAAATTACAAAAACAAGACTTAGAACAACCGAAAGGAGGCAAAACTGTCCAAAAGAGACATGAAAATGGGCCACAAAGGAAAAATGAGACACAAAATGGTACAGACGAGACACAAAACAACTTTACTGTCTTTTAAATATAAATCTATAATGTGAATATGTGATTTTTTACATTTTTTTTTAAACATTTCATAATTAGATTTTTTATAGGTTTTTTTTAAAACCTTATTTTAACGTGTTTTTTTTTCCTTGTGTCCTTACTGCCAGATTTTTACCATTTTTTATGCTTTTATTTTATTACTTTAAACACAGAAAACAACTTCATTGGTCTGAGTTTTGGTTGACTAAAGTAAAACTGTTTTTGTAAAATGATGAATCCTTGTAATGTTAACATACATTCACAGATTAGTTTTACAGATATATTCTCTTAATATGAAAAACATTGGAAGGAAATCTTAATATCTCGTAAATGCCTGTAGAAAAACAACATTTTTTACAGTGTGTGTGTATTCGTGGACTGTTTTGTCATTTAAAAACCTGTTTTCCACACGCATGTGCGATTTTGTCTGCCTCGTTTCTTTAAAATTCAGTTGCTAACTGTAAACCGTTAGATTTGATGGTCCCAGAGTTATTCTGCTCTCAGTATGGATCGTCTGCTAATTAACAGACGCAGCAGTTTTCCTGAGGTGCAGCTTGATTCCTCTCTCAATGATACAAACAGGTACACCATCAATTCTACTGATTAGCCTCGCCGCTGCACCGTCTCTATCAATTTCACAACTTTGCAGAGTTGATGTGCTAAAGCCGGCTCTCTTGAAATAATTAGCTTGTAATTAGCTTGTTGGATAATGAGGGGGAATCCAGTTGGCTCACATGCTAATCAGCAAATACCGCTGGGATGAGCTCCTGACGCCGCGCAGCACACCGAGGTATCACATCATAATGCTCACCGAGCTGAAGGAGAGTCTGCAGGCCTGATGTGTGTTTGCTGTTCACCCAGCGGAGAACATTTACTGATTATTGATTATTGTCCAGAGTGCTGAGGTTAACAGTCAGATGCGTTTAAAAAGGGAGCTGTTCTGCTCACTTAGCCACATCTGGTTTAAGTATGTTAATCAAAGCTGTTCATTTGTGAGGCAGAAGCTCTCTAAATACATGCGCCGGGTTGCAGAGTGTAATCTGCAGCGTTACAGTAAACAGAAATTAGCATGATGTTTGCTTCCATGAAGACAAAGTGATGAACAGCAGTGAGTGGATGCTTCTTGTTTTGGATGTCAGAGCACCGGGAGCATTTTAACCACACTGACATCTGCACCTTTAGAGTTTTATCATTTAATTTGATCTTCTAGAATATGTTTAAATGCTTTAATGATCAAAAAAATGCATTATTTTTTCTCATGTTTCATTTCTGCAGCACTTTTCCTGTCTGAAACCTGCCAAGTCTGCTCTGATTGGTCAAAGAAATGATTATAAAATCACTTAAATGTCAAATGATTTCATGTTCTGTCACCTCTCAAGAACCGTATTCTTTCTAAATTAAACAGTCGAGTGTTTCCTCTTATGAACAATCAAAAACAAACACTTTATAAACACTAAATTGAAAATTCATTCCCCAAAGTAGAAACTCAGTGAAGCAAACTGTGTCCAGCTGTGGTTCCCATCAGTCCACCTGCATGAACATGGTTCTACAACGAGCTGAGAACAGCAGAACCTCCTCAGTTCTGGACCTATGGACTGTGTCTATCTATGTCTGCATCATGGAGAAGACCTGAACAGAGGAAGAGAAACATCTGACTGAGAGACCTGACAAAGATGGAAAAGGATCCAGAAGATCAGTGAGCAGCTAAAACCCAGTGAGGCCCAGTGTGAGCAGTAACCAGGAGGTCCAGAAGGAGCCATAGTAGCTCTGATCAGGGCTGCAGTGGTCGTCCTCCTACAATGACTCCACGGACAGTCAACTACTGTCACTATGGAGCTGTGAACAACAGACAAAGGCAGCTGCTTCAGACTTGGCACAGGGCTTATCAATGGAGACCAGAGTTAGTGTGAAGCTCAGACAGTGTGAAGGACACTTCAGAACATCAACCTCTATGGACGGAGAACCAGAACTAAACCTGGCTGCTGCTCACAACTAAACTTCCACATCAAAGTTTGATAAAGAACATGAACAGAAGTCTGATGGATGTTGGAGAACATTCTCTGGTCAGATGAAGATCAATGTGTTGGGCTCAGATGGAGTCCAGATGTTTGGTGTGGACCTGACCAGGACCACCACAGTGGATGCATCGTCCTGACAGTGAAGCACGGAGGTGGCAGCATCATGATATGGGGCTGCATGAGGGCAGAAGGTGTTGATGATGTTTAGAAATGAATGTCTGAGGATAAACCAGAACACTGGCTGAAAAGAAGAGGAATATTCCAGCAGGAGAACATCCAGAGAACAACTACGACCTGGACAAGAATGTGGTCTGACTTGAATCGAATAGAACTCCTGTTTCAAACACAAAGGTAGAGCAACACAACCCCTCTAGCAAAGAACAGATAAAATGTCAGAATGTCTTTTCATAAATCTGGTATCCTCCAAGCCGTCATTCACGCTAAACTGGACGTCTGGAGCATTAGAAAACATCTGTAATGTAAAAATCACGACCGATGTTGGATTTAGTTTCTGCTGTGAGCCTGGATTTAAACACAGTAAACCTCACTGTTGGTTTTTATTTTACATAACACTAAATACTCTTTGTCTCACCTCATTGTGAGGTGATGAAATGTTGACTCATTTAACATTTAGATCAAACTGCTGATTCAGTTGTGTTGTGTGCTGAATGCTATACGGCGCATTATGCTGATTAGTCTCTAGTTTAAGCAGAACTCTTCAGGAACTGTATGGATTTAGGACACAACCGCAGCCTTGTTAGCTGCTAAACAAGGTCAGACTACACTTGCATTATTATTAATATTCCAGTATTTTGTATTAAAGAGGCGCGTTCTGGATTCTTGCCCTCATTAGAGCGCACATTTGTCCCCTTTTTGAAATCGCAGCTTTGTAGTTTGTGTCGGTCGCCGGCTGCCGTCGCTCAGGCGAGCGGGAGGGGTGGAGGCTGGTTCGGTGCCAGAGACTTGGAGGAGCAGATAAGTTCTGCCAAATTGGTTGCAATTCCTACCGGTCCTATAAAGGTCATAGATTATTTAACACCCCTTTAGAGCCGTGGACTGATTGCAAAGAGCGAGCGTCTGTCAAGTGTTACTGACTGAATATTTGGGTCCCGCGGCTTTGTTGTTCCCAATAAATGCACATAAATACGCGATTCTGCTTTTTTTTTATAGTCTTAAAAAAAACAAAACAGGCAAGTAAAACCCTGAACCAGAGTGTGACTAATGGCAGCGGTGCCAATATGCAGTCTGTGACAGCACTTGAGTGTATAGGGCAGTTTGGCCTTTTCTTTGGTGTTGTTCAATGGTGTATCACTGAGGAGTATCTGCTATGAAGCCAACTGGGTTTCCCTTGACATTTTTGTGACATTTTACCGTCTGGATGTGACGGCCCACAGTATGGCACAAGCTGTCCCATCTGCAGGGTCTCTCAGGGTCCAGCCACCATCGCAGTCTGTGCAGGCCTCAATATGAGAATATTAACAGACAGCGAGAGGTAGCTCACATACAGGATGTTGAATAATTTCCCCCGAAGCGGTACAATGTTATCTGGCCCGCTGGCTTTCATTAGATATCATGAAGTGAACAATGGCGAGTCCTGGTTTCCTTTTTTAAAAGCATCCCACATATTAAACACAAATGCACTCAACGGTGCAGGAAAATATTCTAAAATATTATTATTTATTGTAATAGATGCATATAAGCTTATCTGCATGTATGTCATCTGCATTTGGAAACGTACGCATGTAAATCACGTATGTAAATGTCGGATACGTTTAATTATGGGGAGTGTTTAGTTTGCGGCTCATGATTTAGCTGTTTGTGTAAATATGTCCGAGCCTCCTTCCTCCTCGACAGCATCGATCTGTTGTGTGCTCGTCTAAAAGTGACATTTTAAACTGTGGAAGTGACCGACAAGTAAAAAACAACAACACTCCCCTAAACTTCCACTCACAGACCTCATGATGTCATGTAATACAATCTCAACCCAGATACAGTTTTATCAGGTTTTTTTTTTAACAAACCAAATCTGCTGTCAATAAATACCGACATCGTTAACTGATTATTCTGTTTTACAAATTGAGCCCACTGGAGATTTGTCCTGATCTAATATTGCTGTTTTAAGCCACACGAGTCACTG